TCACAAGAACTAACTATACTATTAGAATAATCGTCTATTATGTCTATTTAGCACTTATTCTCAAAAATGACCCTATTACTAAAACATTCTAATTCTAATTATCTAAATACCTCACTATTCCCCTTACATATTTGAGCGTTATAACATGCAGAAGTGTAAATTTGAAATTTGGCCTAAATTAAATTACTGTGTTTTCATAATTCCTGAAACAACTGATAAAAAGTGACCAAATGATTTTTCAGCTGATTCAGCATGATCTGTATAATAAAAGCCATTTTATATCATAAAGATTGTTTTACTAACTAGAAAAATAGCAGCATTTTGTGGGCTGGAGCTCTAATTCTTAGGCTTTAATTATTAAAATTTAATCTAAAATTTTATAATTGCTTTTACATTGATAATAAATTTATAAATAACTACCTTGTTTTGTATATTGATGACTGGAATGACTAGAATGGCTGGAGCTAATAAAATTGAAGTAAGTAAGTAACCAAATGTAATATATAATTGCTGTGATATTTACAGTAATTAAAAAAGTTTACAAATAACCTACCTTGTTGTATATTTTATAGTTGGAATAGATAGGACGGATAGAATGGATAAAGTGAATGGGATGTTAAAACAAATGGAATAGCTAAAACCGATAGAACTGTAGTAAGTAATCTAATATTATGAAGTTACTGTATCGTTTAATTAACCACCTTGTTTTATATTTTGATATCTATGTACATGAGCATCACTATTAATTTCTCACTTTGCACCAAAAAAAATTATACCAGTATTGTTAAGAAAACGTTTTCAATGTAGTACTGTATAAAACCACTCCAGTCCAATACTGCAATACGGTACCGATTATAGAATAGTAAGCATACACTTTATATTAGCTTTGGTTTGTAAAAGAGTTACTAACGATAACTGCTGTATGTGATAGGAGCTTACCCCAAATGCCGACGATCGAAGCCTTGAACTATCGATTCGCCAAATATCACACGCTTCTCTTGATTAAGGATTGGAATCAATTTAGCCGACTAAAAATTTTTATACAGTAATAAGCAACTATGTTTAGTCGACTAAACCGATTCCAATTCTTGTTTGTGTGTTGGATTATGTTGTCCCAGAAGACCATGAGTACGATCTAACATTATGCTTCGGACAATTATCATTTTGGACATTTTAATTAATGTTTTGTATGCAGTCAATGATGTAACTTTTGTGTCTCCTCGATTAAACATTAAATGAACGCATTCCGCTATGCTCCGAACAATTAAAATCATCTATTTTATATAAGCATGAAAATTTTACCTTCTTTAAAAAAAATGGATTCTGAACAACTTCGCGATCTTGGTTACAATTATGAACATGGTATTGGTGTTAAGAAAGACGAAAAGAAGGCTTTTGAATATTATATGAAAGCAACTAAGTTAGGAAATCCGGTTACGATACGTGATGTTGGTCTTTTATTTTTATGGAATTGGAATAGAAAGAAATTACCAAAAAGCATTTAAACATTACAAACGTTCTGCTGATTTGGATAATGCTTTTGCAATTTGTAATGTTGGTTATTTTTATAGAAATGGACTTGGGGTTGAACAAGGTTATAATAAAGCATTTGAATATTATAAAAAATCAGCTAATATGGATGTTGTAGCAACAATAAGCAATGTTGCTCGATGTTATCGTAACGGTATTGGTACAAAGAGAGATATTCAGGAGGCAAATAATTGGTTCAAAAAATACAGAAGTCTTTTGAAAATTAATAAATCACCAGATCGTATCAATTCTGAACTTAAGAAAATATTAGACAATGAGATATTTAAATTATCTTGGATCGATTATAATGAGTTCAAAGTTACCAAGGAATGGGGAAAAGGAGGATTTGCAACTGTATATTGGTCAATTTGGTTCGGAAATAATGCATGTCAAGATGTCGCACTTAAAGTGATTCATGATTCAAACAAAAATTTGCAAGAATTCATCCAAGAATTGAAAAATTACCGTGAAATTGGCTACGAGAATCCTTCGTACTTGAATTGCTATGGAGTGTCAAGAAATAATTATGGTAATTATATTAATGTTATGCTGCTTGCACCAAAAGGTTCGTTACGGCAAAATATTGCACAAATATCACAATTACAATGGAAAGATAATTTGAATATTTTGTATGATATGCTTTGGACCTTGTGTCGATTCATTCGCAGAAACTCATTCATAGAGTTTTACATAGTGGAAACATTTTACTAACTAGTTCGCATAACGCATATATTACTGATTTTGGACTTTGTAAAAAGTAAAGGAAGGAGAATTCTCCCATATATAGCACCTGAGATTTTGATGGGTCAACCATATACTCAAGCATCAGATATTGTCTTGGAGTTATCGCGACGGAGATTTCGACCGGACAAAGAGCATTTGATGGGATTCCATTTAACTGTAATCTTGTATCAACTGGAACAAGACCTAAATGTTTAGGACCTGATTGTTATATTAAATTAGTTATGGATAAAGATTTTGATAAACGACCTACTGCAACTGAAATTATTGAAATAATCACTCGTTGGTTTGATGAAATCGATCAGGAAGATGATAATGAAATCAAAGAACAATTTTTGGAAGCTAATAGCATTTAAGAAGGCTTTGCTAAGTAATTTTTTTTAGTTATCATAAGTTTTAAATATCTAATCTCGATTCTATTACTGATATAAATGTATTCTTGTCACTTAATTTATAAATTCTATCATCTGTATTTGTTACTTGAGTGGTAAGAAGCTTTTAAAATCTTTTTATTTTTTATTTTTGCATTGAAGCTTTATCTCAATATCCATTTAAAACCTGCACTTTAAGCTAGAAGACTGCTTAATACAATCGTTTAAAAACAATAGCTACAGTATATTCATATATTTTATAGTTTTGTCAAAGAAATTTACCAATGTAATGCAAAATATCTTTATTTATTTTTATAAAAATTATTACATATTTAAATTAAATATTGAAAAACTACAATATTTACTTATGTTAAATGTAAATTAAATGTTAAATGACTCTTATTGAAAACTGACATTCTATCCACTCATAATGAATACCAACCAATCTCAATGCATCAGTTATAGTTATTGTATGGATTATAAAAAATAACTAAATTTGCACGGGGTTACATGGCCGAAGGCCATATAACTTAACCCTTGCAAATTTAATTATTTAATAACCCATATAATAAGAGTATTTATTTCTATAGATGTTAGGCGTAATTAGAAATTTTGCATTGACAACTAGTTTTAACTTTTGCAAAAAATTTTTAAAAATGTCGAAACTAATGAAATTAGTAAAAGGTAATAAACCTTATAAATGAAGCAAAAAATTAATTGTTATCATAATCTGCACTAAATTGATTTTTCTAAATAGTTAATTAATAATAATTGTTTACATGATTAAGAACTATGATATTGATATAAAAAGTTTAAGCAGATTAAAAAAAAAACTATTAAAATATATAATCATTGCAAAAATAATATTTGAGAAGTAATTTATATTTAAATTACGGCGCATTAGAAATTTGTAGCCAGCCGGATCAGTGATGTAATTGGTTTCATCCAATGGAAAACAATATTTGTATTCGTCCAATGGGAAGTAGGCGAATTAGTAGACCATTAAAAAGGGGCATTAAGTAAGTCTGCCAGCAGATTATGCATAAAAACAATTTCGATTTCTAAACTTTAAATTCAGGGCCCGGAATTTGAATAACTCACCTAACTCTAACGTGCAGTACGTACGTTGAGAAAGTAGTGACTACTATGTGGAAAATAAAAACTATCTAACTAACTAATATCTATCCCTAAAACTACTCTAACTATCCTTCAAAACTCTAAAACCTTGTTGTGGAAGGCAGAAAAAGGCATGGTTAGTGTTCAAAGATAAGCCGGCTTATCACGGCTTGCTGCGGCTTAATGCGGCTTATCACGTGATAAATTCGAAGTTATCACCAAACCATGTGATTTCTTCGAATTTTGCACGTGATATTTCCGCGATTATCACATGGCTTGGTGATAACTTCGAATTTATCACGTGATAAGCCGCATTAAGCCGCAGCAAGCCGTGATAAGCCGGCTTGTCTTTGAACACTAGGCATGGTAAGACTTGGTCCGAGGTTCAAGGTCTTCGGGTCTTGCTGCGGCGAATTTGGAGGTCAAGATAAATATAACCAGATGTGTACTTGCAATTGTTTAATTGTAGGTCCTCATAAGTTGTTAAAGAAGATCTCTTCTTCTTGTATCTAATATACTAGGGCTTCAATAATCGGCTTCGATCATTAAGAGACTTGTCGGTTATCATGTGGTCACCTGTTTGAAGAAATGTGATTGTTTGACATAATAAGCAAACAATGAGGTAAATGACGAAACTGATTGAAAGTTTAATTGGATTTTGTATATAAGGGTTCTGATTACTAATAAATATATGTCTCTTTTACTTTGACAACTTAATTTATAATGGATTTTACGAATTTCACGGGAACAAGAATATTTTGATGATAGAAGACTTTTATTATACTGGGGACGATTTTTATGTTTTAAAGGAATATTTATTCAAAGAACAACTTCTACTTAAAGGACTTCAAAGTTAAGAACTCTTACGAGTTGCTTTTTTATTCAGGCAAAAGATAGGTCTTTAAATACTTTTAACCTTTACTGTATATATAGAGCTGTGGTTGCTATTTAAACTACTTCTACTATGTATAAAATATACTTAATTTGAATCAGCTAAATTGTCTAATAATGGATAAGAAACAATTTTGTATCCGCTTAGACCCTAGATACGAATTTGTTTCTTCTTCAGCCTTAGATACAATTTTGTATCTGCTTAGATATTTAGATACAATTCCATATTTAGGTAGGACATCTATTTTTAGTAATGTTATTCTACTTTGAAATATTTTAATTTGAGCTATACTAATACTAATAATAATAATAACATATACATATATTTAATAAATAAAAAAATAATAATTGTCATCTTCCGAGCCCTTCACAACTTTCCCACCTTTAAGGGCGAGTTCCATGAGTGTCTTACTCCATTAACCACTCGAAGTTGGCACTGGACAACTTCTTGATCTTATTGATAGTTGTTCAGTTTGTATAATAAAAATGTTCTACCCCAAGGGTTTAAACAATTGATATAGCCGAGGGAGGCATCAACAAAGTGTCGGGGGATGATATGGCATATAGTAGTAAGTTGGGACTTCTGTGCTTCTTGAAGCAAAGCACCCAAGTAGAAAGCATTTACCAAGCTTTCTATTCTTTCTTCTTCATCTAGGGTGAGAAGGGTTGCTTGGTAGACGACATCGGCTTTCATGACGAAATGTTGCCCTTTGTAATAGGGACAAGGAGTTGGATCAATGGGAAGAACATTAAGGGTGCTCATGTTTATATGAATTCATATGGCGGCGGTACTTGGCATCCTTTTCTCTTTTTTTTTTTTTTTTTTGTGTTTGTTTCTTTTTCTTTTTTTTTGTCTGATTTTTTTTTGAAATTAAGTGTTCTTCCTACTCATATTTATATCCCTCTTTCCCTATATTCTTTGAGCAATTGTTTATTAATAGATGCTGCAAGAACTCCTCTGCTCAAGTCACAAAGCTTATACGCCCCATTAGTTAGGTTAGCATGGATATAATATGGTCACTTCTATTTGGGTGCTAGTTTATAGCTATGTGTGCCCAATTTCCTGGCATCTAGCATGAGGACTTTCTCACCAATATTAAAATCTCAGGTGGCTGTGATTTGTCGATCATGATTGTTTTTCTATTTTTGTTAGGTCTTCCTAATTCAACACACAGCCTCTTCATGGTTTTAGGTAGATCATGGGCAATTTTGTACATTCTTTGAATAATTGTCCCATCCAACAAGTCTTTTGTTGCACTGGGTGTATGGGTAACTTGGCTTTTTTTTATAGACTAGGTAAAACAGTGTTTCTTGGGTCGTGGCTTGTTTTGCCGTTCTATAAGCGAAAAGGATCGACAGAATTAATAGATCCCAATTTGTTACATTTGTCAATAGTCTGCTATTGCGTTGCATAATGTCTTATTAAACCGCTCCACAAGCCCATTTGTCTGCAGGTAGTAGGGAGTGAAATAGTAGTGCTTGGTGCTTATTGCTACCAGTAACTTGTCTATAACGTGATTATTAAAATGTGAGCCCTGGTCTAATAGTATGATGTTGGAACATCCTTGTCTGCATACTATCTCTTCATAGATAAATACAGCCACCTCCTTTGCGCTGGCCTTGGGAATTGCGTGGGCCTCAGGCTACTTTGTCATATAATTGGTTGCTACAACAATATATTTGTTGGAGCGTGGAGTAATAGGTAATAGTCCGACTATGTTAATGCCTACTCAGTGAAATGGGGCTTGGATTGGAATTTGGTGCAGTAGTTCCTTTGATTTCTTGTTTCTATGTCATTAGCAGCTTTCGCACATGGTTATGTATTCTCAGAAGTTCTTGTACATCTGTGGCCAATAGTAATAATTATGGATTTTGTTAAACATAATGTCTTTCCCAAAGTAAGCACCCAATAGGTGATTATGAGCTAGGGTGAGTATTGGTCCTAGTTCTCCTTCTTGTAGGACCTTGAGTGGTTTCTTTGGTGTCTTTTTATTTTTCTTATATAAGGTCTCATTTATAATTTGAAAGAAGCGACTTTGATTTCCTAATCGCTTTTGTTGTTGACTGTTGAAATGCATAGAGAATCGTTGATATTAGCGGTATAATTTTAGCATAAAATATTGCTGTGGGTCCAATTTTTTTTTTAATTTTTCTGCCAGGATACCGATGACCTGGACTGTATTTTGTTTAACATCGTGTTTAAAAAGTTCTTATTTTTTGTAGATAATTTCTTCTTTTTCACTTAGTTCGTTATTTGTTTCTCGAACCCCTGGGGTGTCTTTGTTCTTTGTTGAAATCTTTCGTTTTGTATTTCACCTTCGGGGATTCGATTAATTTGTTTCTTTAGTCCTTTGACGTTTGTTTGTTTTTACTCAATTTTTAATTAACTTCTTTATTTTCTGTAGTTCAATTTCTTTAGGGATTCTTCTAGCATTTTTAGTATTTGATTATTTCCATATATTGCTTTGAGTAATTTCTCTAGCTTTAACTTGCTTTCATTTGGCAGTTAATCTTCGCGCTTCTGAATTTTCATGGATTTCATTTGTGGCTGGTTCTTGAATTTAGCTAACAATCTTCAGTCTTTAGATTTCGTCAATGTTCAGTTTTTTTGACTCCAATTTCATTTTGATATCAATATCGGTTGCTATTAATTGATATGCTTGAATTTTTTTCACATTGGAAAATTTGTCATGTAGATCAGTGGTACTTGGTGTAATTTAATTTTGTAGTCTAATCCCTTTTGCTTTAGTATACGATTACTTAACATAATTTCGTTTTAATAACAATGTCTAATTGTAGAGTAAGCTGAGAATTTGGCTAAGAATTAATTCTCAGTACTTTTGTTTCTTCTCTGAACAGTCCTTGGCATAAGAGTTGTTATACTAAGTCTTTCTTGCATTTAACGTTCGAAATTGGCAATTTTTCGTCTGGTATATCTAAATAGTTTCGTTTAAATAAGGCCTCTCTACTCACCCTATTTCATTCTGGCCAACCATACTCTATTGCCAGGTCTGTAAAAAGTAATAATAAAAAAAATAAAAGGTGAGAGAAAAAAAAAAAAAAATCGTGGGTCACATAATTGCATGGACATCCATATCTATATAGTCATGTGATAGGGGTTAAATTCCTATAACTATCTATTTAAGGGTTCTTTCAAAAGAGAGTATACATAGTTTTTTTTTTTATCATATATAATTTATATTATTTTTTTTTTTGAAGTTTTCGAATTTGTATTTTTTTTAAGTATTGTATTTATTTGTTTTTTAGATTAAAAGAATTACCCTAATTAATTCTTCATATGGTGAATATTCCTACTTTTACGAGAAGTCATAATATTCCTATTTATTGGAAGTATCAATAACTTGTGCCATTCATCTTGATCGAGGCTTATGTCTGAAAGTTGGTCATTATTTATATTTTCCTTGAATTCGAGCCCGTGAGCTGACTCTCCCCAGCTCAGAATTTTGATCAGGTGGTCTTCGTCTAAGTCCATGGATTGGGGTTCGAGTTTGTTGTCATTTCTGGTTTCATTTTCCATGTTATCCTTTATTTGACTAACCCAAGAAATTTCTCTTCCAAATTTTTGGATAATTTGTTGTAATAGGGCTTCATGCTATCAGGCTTGTTCCAGGTAGATATTAAATTCTTCCTCCTCATCCTATCCTATCTATTGGCAACTAGTTACTTTTGTAGATTCTTTGAGGAAGTATTCTTCAGCAATGACCCTAAAGGCTTCGATGTCTTCGACTAGTTCTTCTAGTTGGGTTTCTACAAGCTTTTGTTATGTAATTTTTTACATCTTTCAGCATTCTTTATATTAGCTGCATAACTGATTAATTTTTCTTTTTCTTCTGCAGCCCTAGGTGATTCTACAATCATTTTGAATAGTACATCTGCATTGTTGTGTGCTCTACCTGCCCTGTGGATAATGATGAAATGATAAGGTTGTAATCATAGTATTTACTGGGCTTTTCATTTCTTCAAGGCTGAACTCTGAAGCCACTTCAAGGTGGAGTGGTCTGTAACGATGTTAAATGGTTTATAGTCTAGGTAATAGTGGAAATACTCTAACGCCCATACTACTATGTAACATTCCAGTTTGGTGGCTGCATAATTTCATTTAGGTCTGGTTAGGCTTTTGCTGGCATAGGCTATAGTGTATTCTTTTCTATTTTATCTTTTTGTGCTAATACTGCACCTAGCCTGATGCCCGATGCGTCGGTGTAAAGATAAAATAGCCTATTAAAATCTGGGTATCTTAAAATTGGGGCCGATATAAAGTAGGTTTTCAACATGTTGAATGCTTTTTCTTGGTCCTGGCTCCATTGAAACTCAACACCTTTCTCAAGTAATTTGTGTAGCAGCTTTGCAATGGTGGCGAAATTCTTTATAAAGCAGTGGTAATACAAGGCTAGCCCAATGAAGCCTCTTAGTTGTCAGAGATTAACTAGTCTAGGAAAGTTTTTCACTTTTGATACTTAGTCTTCATCAGGTTTTATGCCTTCTTTTCCTACTTCATGGCCCAAAAATTTTATGTTATTTTTAAAAAGTTCACACTTTTTAGAGTTTAATTTCAACCTTGCCACGGCTATCTTGGCGAAAACTTTGGTTAGGTGGGTTAGGTACTCTTGGTATATCTTCGAATAGATGATTATATTATCTAGGTAAACAGCAACACATTTGTCTATATTTTCGTAAAGTATTTGGTTCATGGTTCTTTAGAATGTAGCTGGCATGTTATATAAACCGAAAGGTATCACGTTAAAGGCGTAGATGCCTTGTTTAGTTATAAAGGTAGTCTTTTCCTGGTCTTCTTTTTTCATCTTTATTTGCCAGTATCCACTGGCCAAATCCAAGGAGGAGAACCATTGGGCCTTATTAAATGTTTCTAAAAAGTCATCAATTCTTGGTAGGGGAAATGTATTCTTTTTTGTTATTGTATTTAACTTTCAATAGTCAATGCATAACCTTCATTTGCTGTTTTTCTTTGGGACTATTACAACTGGTGAAGCCCAAGGACTTTTAATTTCACTTATTAACCCATTGGTTAATAAATTTTCAATTTCTTTATTTAGAAATTCTTGTTTATTGAGGGCAATTCTATAGGTGAATTGCCTAACGGGTTTGACATCACCAGTGTTTATTTCATATTGCACTCCCTTGTACTGGCCTTGTTGATGCAACTCACTGGCGAAGAGTTCTTGAAATCGATTTAATATCATTAATGCCTCTTTTTGTTGTTTTTCAGTTAATGTTTCTATTGTTACTAATTTATTTATTATTTCTTTTAAGGTGAGTTTGGGTTTGTTAGTTATTTCGGGAGTTGAAAGTTCTCCTACTGCTGTTAAATATACTGCCGAGTTATCTGCTTCTTCCCAATAATTAGTGGGTGGTTCTTCTTCTTCTGATACTGCATCATCGATGTAGTAACTTTCTACTTCTTTGAGATCATTTTTTTCTTCGTAAAGGTCGAAGAAGTTATCTTCGTCTTTTTCAGATTCTAAAGGTAATTTGATCTTTTCTTCCTTAGCTTGATAAATGGATACTTTGATTTCTTTGCCCAGTTATTTTAAGAATAACTTTTTCTCGTCAAAGTGTAGGCAGGCACGAACTTTCTGTAACCAGTCCATCCCTAGCAGCATTATTTCATCAGGGTTTCAATTACTTGAAAGTCAGTAAGTATCAATGCAGTTTGAATGGCTAATTTTACCCCTGGTACTTTTTTTAACGCTCTTTCTCGGTTTCTATTCACAGTTATTACAACTATGTTGGAAGGTTCGGTTAAGGTGAGGCCTAGCTTTTTAGCTAGTTTTATTGATATGATACTAATGGCAGCCCTGAAATCCAAAATTGCTAATACTGGGTTGTTTCAGATTCATATGTAACACTTTGTGACAGTGGTTTTTTGGCTAGACTTGCTCTCAACTAGGTTAGTTTGTTCGTTAGTAACTATAATTAGGCGTCTTAGGGCTTGAGATAGATGTTGTCTTTGTTTTGGGACTTGTAGCAACTGACTATAAGTCGTGTTGGTGTGTTGCTTTAAAAGGTCTTCAGCTATATTATATGGGGGTATTTGATTGATGACGAAAGTCCTCATCTATGCTGGCTCCTAGTACCGTAAATCGCCATATACAAGACCCGTGTGATGCAATTTTTTTCAATTGAAAAAAATTTAAATCATGTGCATTACGCATCACTTGATGTATAAATACTATTTTAAAAATTGATCTACATTATTTGTCACGCAGGGTATTGTATATGGCGATTTACGGTAACAGTTTCTGGTTGGGGCTGTGTGGGTGCTTGGAAGTTCCTTGAGAAACTTCTTCCATGGGGTGAGTTGTTCTTGATTTTGGTCGGGTGCGGTCCTTTTTCGCAACCTTTCATTTCTGTTCTGGGGGTTCTTTTTTTGCTTAAGGGCATAAATTTCCTGTTTGGGCTGGTGGGTCATAATGTCACATAGGTTGACATTTCTATGATGAATTGTTCTACTTGTATGGGGCCTTCTGGGGTACTGGTGTTCTGTCAGGCAATTTCTAGCAAAGTGGCCTCTTTTGCTACAATTGTAACATTCGATGTTTCGATTAGTAGGTCATTGAGATTGATAGGGTTCTTGGGGTGAACATGGGTTGGTTTCAGTTTTGGCGGCTAGCACAGTGGTCAATCTCTCATAATTAGTGGCTATCAGCTGCATTTTCTAGATTAAGTTGTCTAGAAGCAAATTGGCAGGTATATTTTTATTCTTCTTATTTTCGTAATAGCTACTAACTTCTACTCTTCGTGCCTTGGCTATCGCTTTGTCTAGCATTTCAGGGTCTTCAGTAGATATTAGTGCGGCTATTTTTCCTTGAAGACCATATAGAAATATTTGAACTATGTAGGCAGTGGGATTTGTCCTTCCAGATTGACTCTTTTTAATAACCTCTTAAATTGGTAAGCGTACCTATTAACTTTTTCAGTTTCTTTTTGCTTTAGGGAATGAAGTTCAAGTTGCCACTGATGTTTTTGTTCTGGGGTGGCAAAGTATTTCGTAAATGCTTAAACAAAGCTATCATCTGGGTTGTCAGTGTCATCCCAGAAAAAGAGGGCTTCCTTGTGATCATTGTACCAACTGGCTGCAATCCTGGCAAGGTGCCCCAATGCAATTTTTATTTTTCTTGCCAGGGTCCAGTTATTTGCATAGGCGGCCCTTTCGAAGGCTTCGACCTATTCAACAGGGTCTTCATCCTATTTGCCTTTAAAGGTCTTGACATGGACCCAATTATTTTCATTTGCGTTGGATCTTACGTCATGTATTGCGACTTCTCGGAAGGCTTGGGCAATTTCCCTTAGCAAATATTGTGCCTGGTTTTGGTTTACTGCTCATCATGGTAAGCTGGAGGTTTTCAAGTCTATCTCTGTCAATAGTCCTAATATCTTCAAAAGGGCCTAAATCAGACATTTTATCAAGTAATAGATATTTGCTTTAAAAAAAAATTTTTTTTTTGAACTAAGTGTATAAAAGAAAATTCGGATTTAGGTGGTTTGGAGGTTTGATCTCACAGTTACCACCAATTGAGAAAGTGGTGACTACTATGTGGAAAATAAAAACTATCTAACTAACTAATATCTATCTCTAAAACTACTTTAACTATCCTTCAAGACTCTAAAACCTTGATGTATAAGGCAGAAAAAGGCGTGGTGAGACTTGGTCCAAGGTTCAAGATCTTCGGGTCTTGCTGCAGTGAATTTGGAGGTCAAGATAAATATAACCAGATGTGTACTTGCAATTGTTTAATCGTAGGTCCTCATAAGTTGTTAAAGAAGATCTCTTCTTCTTGTATCTAATATACTAGGGCTTCGATAATTAGCTTCGATCATTAAGAGACTTGTTGGTTATTACATGGTCATACCAGGAGCGGATTGATATGCAAATATCACGAATACCAGGAGCGGAGTGATATGCAAATATCACGAATACCAGGAGCGGAGTGATATGCAAATATCACGAAGTGTATGGTTATGAGGCGAATTAATGATGTGTGTCCGCAAAA